GGAGGCTAGTGCCCTCGCCGACCTTGAGCCGCCTCCCCTCGGGCCCGGGCCGGGGGATGCCCACCCGGAGAGCGGCTTTTACCGAGTACTCACCCGCGGGCTCCCCGGACGCTGGGGAAAAGCGAAGAAACTGCGCTGCCTGCCCCCGCGCCTGCGCACGCAGAGCCTAGTGCTCGGCTCCCGAGACCAATAGGAAGCGCGGGAGAGGAGCTGGGCCAATCACAGCGCGCCGGACGCGGGGCACCAGTTCGTGCGCATGCGCGGATTCCTCGGCCCCCCCCCCTACCGCGGCGCGCGCGTACGGGGGCTCACGAGGCTCCGGGACCTGTGAGGCTGCTGGGACCCCTGGCGCGCCGTGTTCGGTAGGTGTCCACGCGGGCTGTGGGCTCGGTTGGCCCGGCCGGGCGTGCGTGGCCTGAGGCTTCGCTGAGCGCCGGCGCTGCCTTGGCTCCCCCGGCTCGTAGGCCGCCGCACCTGCCCTGCCGGTGCTTGAGCGCAGGTCCCAGGGGCGCCGGGTTTGGGGACGCCTGGCTTGTGGCGTCCTTTCCAAGGAGACTGCGGCCCCCGAGGCGCCCCGGCCCCTCTGTCCCGCACGCTCGTCCCCACGTCCCGCGGCCGGGTGTTCAGGTGTGGACCTGCCGCCCACCTTCCTCCTGCGTTAACCAGTGTTTTACTATTTTTATTCTATTTCTTTTTTCCCATTAGCCAACTAGACCTCTTTCTTACTCAGTTCTGGTCAAATCCTGACTCTACGGGGAAACCAACACCTCGGGGCCCTTTAAGCGCATTTACCCTTGATTTGACTTATCTGAAGTAATGGTCCCTTGACCTTATTTATTTATTTATTTGTTTAATTTTTTGGAAGGGGGAGTTAATTAGTTTGTTTTAAATTTTTTAATGGAGGTGTGGGGATTGAACACAGGCCCTTGTACTTGCTGAGCACGCACTCTACCACTGAGCTATACCCTCCCCCGGTTGCCTTTTTTAAGTTAAAGCAAACGCAATTCCTTCCATCAACCAGCACATGGGATCTGGACTGCCTGAGTTTGAAACCTAACTACCACTTATGAGCTGTGTCAGCTGGACACTAAGACATCTTTGTGCTTCAATTTCCTCACTTCTAAAATGACATAGAAGTTGTGTTGTTGGGAAAACTAACAATGCTCGTGAAGTGCAGCATTGTCCAGCAAATGACAGCGATTTGTATTCTCAGGTCCACCCCTGGGTCTAAGCTCTCGGATGCAGCGACTCTGCTCTTTGGTACTTATGTGTCGACTGAAATAAATGCACAGCCTAGAAGCTGAGTTATGTTTTATTGGCGGGCTTTTCCAGGCATTCAAGCCTGGGAGACAGTCCCTCTCAGATCGCTCTAAGGGACTGCTCCAAAGAGGGGAGGAGCAGGATATATACGAGCTTTTGCAACAAAAACCAGGTAGTTGGAACATCAAAAGATTAGTTAATTGAAAACCATCTCAAGTTAAGGAACTTAGTGCTTTTCTTTGGGAGGGTGCAAGAGTCTGGGCTTGCTGAAATCATTCCTTTGATATGTACCTCACCTACCTAGGGCCAGTCTCCTGTGCTTTCCCATCTTGACTCCCCTCTGGGAGCACTGTTCCGGGTGGCTGCAGTGGCTGAGGGCTTGATGGTGAGCATCCTGTTTCCATCCTGACTCCCCGCAGGAGTGACTGTGATGTGATGGCTAGAAGGCTGCAACGTGCTTTGTTTACTGAAGTGGCAGGCGGTATTTTTCATTCACAGGTTCGAGTGGGAGGTGTTTACTGAGAAGCACTCCTTTTGGGTACTCATCCTGACTTTCATAAGCGTTGATGTTAAGTGAGCTATTTTCTGTTACGTTTGACCATGTTTTTAATTCTTTAATGTAGGTATAAATCCAGAGGAATTGAGAATCTGATGGCATGGCTTTAATTACCTTGCGGAGGAACCTCTGTCATTTATCTGATTTTCGGATACATGGAGCTCTGGCTGCTCTGAGAAATCAACGTGTGAATCATGTTCACAAGATAGTCCAGGAGCACCTATGTCCATGGTTCTGTTCACTGCCACCTGGGCCTGTCAGGGTCAGGTTCCGTCACGCCCCTTGTCAAAAGTTCCACTCGGAAAATGGAAATGACCTTCCTCCAGCTGGTGAGCCAGCATTCTCTCAAGTACATGACTGGGACAGGTTTGAACAAAATCTTAAAAATGAGGATGAACAGATATCTTACAGGAGACTAAACAACTTCACCTCATCCGAAGAAGTGTTAAGTTTCCTAAGCACACTGCAGACTCTGCCCGACGCTGTGGCAGCAGGAGCCCTCAAACGGATTTGCGAAGTGGAAAAAAAGGAGGATGCCCAAAGGCTGCCGAAAGAGATACTGGAGAACAGCATCTTTCAGGTTGTATGTGATCAGCTGGAACAGGACCCCTCAAATCTGTCAAATGCCACTTTGGCGACTGCTTTGCAAGCCCTGACTCTGTCGTACATGGACCCCCGAAGCAGCCTGCTGCCGAAACTGGTGGCCGAGTGCCAGCATCGTCTCGGAAGCGTTGGCCTGGACGTCCACAGTCTTTGTGTTCTGGGGGAAAGTCTGATTAAACTGCGGGGTCCAGATTGTTCAGCCGTAGAACGGATTATATGTCTACTGCAGGGTAAAAATTTGGAAGCCTTTACCCCTGAAGATGTTGTGACCCTCTATAGAATACTGCAGATGTGTCCCGACTCAGTGCACGAACACCAGGCGTTTTTAAATAAGATGAATACCTTTTCTCTGTCGGTCGTTTCCAGCCTGAGTCCTAACTTGATGAGCCAGATGCTCACTGCCCTGGTGGTTCTTGATCAAACTCAGGCGCTTCCTCTGGTTATAAAATTGGGTAAACATGCGGTGAGGCACATCCCACACTTCACCAACAAAGAGCTGGGAAAAGTCTTAGAGGCTTTCATCTACTTTGGGCACAATGACAGGTTTTTTACAAAAGCCCTGGAGCAGCACGTCGCCCCGCTGTGTCTCACCCTGGATCCTGAGGTCCTCAGCGCCGTCATGGGGTACTGCGGCAGCAAACGGATTCTTTCCAAACCCATCCTGAATGCGGTGGCAGAAGCTTTTGTTTGCCAACCTGAGAAATTCTCACCCAGCCAAATTTCTGAGTTAATTGAACCATTTGGAAAACTCAATTATTTGCCACCAAATGCCTCTGCTTTGTTTACGAAGCTAGAAAATATACTGTTAACTCATTTCAGTTCTTTTCCACCCAAAACACTATTGAAACTTCTCCATTCATGTTCACTTATTGAATGCCATCCAGTCAACTTTATGGCAAAATTATTCAGCCCACATTTTCTTCAGCGGCTGCAAGGTGAGTTGGCCATGACTTCTGAGAGTAGAAAAATTAGTGTTTGAACTTGTGATTTTTCAAGTCACGTATGTACCTTTTTTAATTGAGCAATGCTTTGCCTTTGTTTTTTCTTCCATAATGACCTAAAGATGAGATCTGAAGTTGCAGCTGCTAATATAAACCCAGAGTTAAAGATGCTAGAACCCTGCATGGAGAGAGGACGGTCTTGGGTCCGCAGACTGCTGCCCTAGCTGAGAACTGAGTCCTCTCTCGGGGATCTGGTGATGCCGACGACAGTGTCACAGTAACACGTTAGGATCTTTGATGGGAAAGCAGCTGTATCACTCCCTTTTTTTTATGTTTGAGAGGATGATATTGTTTATCTTAATTCAGGGTCACCCAAACATGTTGAAATCTGGATCTCCATGGGTAAAGGAAATCCCCACTAATTCTACTAACATTACGTCTGTCACTTTTAATCCTATTTTCTGGTTAAGAGCTTGAGTTCTTGGAAGCCATATGAGATTTCATTGAGACAGCAAACAAGAAGGTATAATTAGTTCTAACAAGTTCTTTCCCTGGGGCCATTTAAAAGCACCCTAGTGGAGTGAATGAATGAGCAGTGTGCACTCTGGGTGTTCTCTTCGCTCACTACACGTGCCGAAGTCCCAGCTTAACTCTGACTGCGATGCTCTTTGTTTCAGGTGACGAACCCTATCTGGACAGACTGAGCCTAGCACAGCTGACCCAGCTTTTCTTAACCTCAGTTCTAGAGTGCCCCTTCTATAAGGTAAAAGCTTGACCTGCGTTGCTTTACTAACCTGCAGGGACACTTTTCTTCTGCCCCACCCCTCCAAATCTTTTAAGTTCTGTCTCTTTTGAGCTGTCTCAGTGACTTCATTAGAAAGTAGAATTTTCATTCACTTGAAGTAAGTTGCCAGCAGAGAACTTTGTCTCTAATAAGTGGACCCCGTTCCTGTTATCTTG